CTTATAAAATCATTTTTTATTATCTTTTACAGCATTGGCCACTTAATGGTTTCATAAACGTAATGTCTTTATACAGAATCTCACGATTAGTAAGAAGCAGAAGAGGAAAGAGAAACTGGACTCCAGAACATATGTAGTGGGACTAAAAGTCAGCTGGGCCATAAAGAAAAATTTCATTCTCCACTTTCATTGATCATCTCTTAAGAAGCTTATGAATGACTCCAACTCTTCAACATGCAATTGAAATTAGATTAATGAGTTTTTCCAAAATAAATGTTTCTGTGGGCCTTTCACCTAGGCACCACAAAATGTGCTTTCACAGAGGAATTAGCTTTACTGTAAAGCCCTGGGCAGCGGTTTGAGAATGGCTCTGTCACATACATTCATGCTGTTTTACCAGAATTTATAGTGAGAACTGCATCAATGTGACCTGTAACACTAGCATTTGTGAGTGAATTCAGATCAAATATTAAAGAGATGTAACAATACCATAACACAGATCAGAAAAAATTAAACTAGAAAATTCTAGAGGATGTGGCAAACAGGAGCTCTAATGCACTGGCAGATGTCCAGATCAAGAATGAAAAGTGTTTGTCTCCAGGTTTGTTTAAAAATAAGTTGATTTGAACAAATATGATGCTGAAAATGTGAGAAGCTTTAACCTGTTGCAAGTCGAAATTGAATACTTAGCTAATCTCTACCGCCAGCTTTATGAGCTGTAGCTGATAGCAATAAAATAAATCCTTGTTTACCATTCTGTGAATCATGTCCGACATGTCTTATTTGAACCATGTTACATTTGATCAAATGTTTGCTGTTCCAATTCTGAGTGCTGATGTTAAATTAATGACTCACCTCAATAAAACATCAACCACTTATAAGAGGAGTTGCTGTTTCCTGTTCTGGCTGGTTGACTTGTATACTCAGTGATGTAAAATCACTCTTCTGAAAATCCATCTATGTTGTGCTTTTCTATAGCCCCCATTGCAGTATAGCGGAAGGGCCAGATCCTGTCCTATGGTCATTTAGGTCAAAAGTGACAAGAAGGGGTCCGCAAAGCTGCTGGAAGATTTATGATTCCCCCACCATAAAGAAGCACAACCTGCTGTACAGTCTGCTGTACCAGCTCTGCCAATACCCAGCCAGTCCCAGTAGCACCATGCGGTGTTCTGGAAAAGGGTGTGCCTGGAGGTCTGGGAGCTCCTTGGAGCTACTGTCGGCAGATATGTGTAAGAGTAGACCTGGGACTGCTCCGAAAAATTTCAAGAGAGAAAAGGATTCCTGGAGGTCCCTGATATTGGAAAGGATAGAACTAGCATTTAGCCCAGCTTGCTCAACTCAGTGAGAAGGGACAAGTATTTCAATATGGAACATGAGCCAGCAGTGTCTGAACATGAGCCAGCAGTGTGCCCAGGTGGCCAAGAAGGCCAACAGCATCCTGGCTTGTATCAGGAATGGTGTGGCCAGCAGGAGCAGGGAGGTGATTGTTCCCCTGTACTCGGCACTGGTGAGGCTGCACCTCGAATACTGTGTCCAGGTTTGGGCCCCTCAATATAAGAAAGACATTGAGGTGCTGGAGCGTGTCCAGAGAAGGGCAACAAGGCTGGTGAAGGGTCTGGAGCACAGGCCTTATGAGGAGCGGCTGAGGGAACTGGGGTTGTTTAGCCTGGAGAAGAGGAGGCTGAGGGGAGACCTTATTGCTCTCTACAACTACCTGAAAGGAGGTTGTAGTGAGGTGGGTGTTGGTCTCTTCTCCCAAGTAGTTAGCGATAGGACGAGAGGAAATGGGTTCAAACTGCGCCAGGGGAGGTTTAGGTTGGAAATTAGGAAAAATTTATTTATGGAAAGGGTAGTCAAGAATTGGAACAGGCTGCCCAGAGAGGTGGTGGAGTCACCATCCCTGGAAGCGTTCAAAAAACGGGTAGACGTGGCACTCTGGGACATGGTTTAGTGTGGACTTGGTAGTGTAGGTTAATGGTTGGACTGGATGATCTTAAAGGTCTTTTCCAACCTAAACGATTCTACGATTCTATGATTCTTTAAAAGCAGAAAGATGGAGGGACCTAGAGCATCAGATTGCTTCCCTCTGGAATATCTCTTTCAAGCCCAGGCCTTTGGCTCTAGTTTCCTTTGCAGTTGAAATATTACAGGAATTCTTTCATTCAAAGCTGCTCATTTTCACTCCAGTCCAGCTCCCACAATCAATGCATCATGTTTATTAGAGCTGAATGTGGAAATTATTCTGCAGAACACTACAAATAGCCTCAGGTAGTAAGCCACAGCATCAAACAAAACAGAGACAAGCAGTTAGGAAAAACTGGCAATGCTGAAAGCAGCTTTCTGTTTCTTTCATTTGTGGGTATGTGAACAAATGTATATATGTATGCAAGAGACATAGGCACCCACTTAAAAGGATCTCACCCCTGGATTCTTTATGTTAGAGTTCACTTCATCTTTTTTCTAAGCATGGTAGTTTGTCTTCAAAAATTTAGCTAAGAAAAATAATAAAAAAAAATAAATAAAATGCTGCTCCACTTACGTTCCAGTCTATAGTAACAAAGAAAGGGTGACGTTTAATTTCTTCCACTCCATCGAATCCAGCACCTGACAAGAGAATGAAACAATCAGAATAAAGTCATGCTTAGAAGAGTGCTGCATGACATCTCTTCCGCAGCCTTCCTCCCTGTCCCCTCTTTTCTTCTGAGAAAGCCAGAGTCACCATCTAAACATTTCTTCTAGTCAAGAAACCCTGAACGTGCCACTGCCAACAATATAAACAACCATAAATACAGACAATGGCACTTCATTAATGAACATCTGATAGCTGAGGGTTTTTTACTTTTCTCTAACTGAGGCTGGTGCCAAGGCTGAATAGCTACTCTCTTCAGGCTTCAGACGAGGTGTGGGATTTCAGCCACAGCAGAGCGCACACACCAGTGAGGCCATGAGAGGCCCCAAGATGTCCTGATACCACAGCAAGGCTCCTGCTGCTCCCTACCACCAGCTGCAGCTCTTCTATCTGCACTGACTTTCAAATCTTGTCTAATTACCCATTCTCCACAGATGGGGAAAGCTGCCCTACAAGTAAGTTCAGACTCAAAATATCAAAGGGCTCCACATATTTTGAGGTAAGCCAGGGTTTTAGGTTCCCCCTTTTCAAATACGGTCTTCAAATTTGCCTGGGTACCAAAATCATCACTTTCTGTGGTATGTTTCCTTCACTGATAATATTGTTAACTCTTCTGAGATCTGGTAATGAATCTACTTCTTTCATTACTTTTGCCTTCTGTCTTCACTGAAGATTGACTCTTTTATTCCTTCAGTTGAATTTATTTGCTTCAGTGCAATCACAAAAACCAACAGGTGCTCAGTAATAATTAAACAACTGTCAGAGATGATTTAGCATGCCATTTTTTGGGTTGATTTGACTTAATTAATAGCACCTTTCATTTTTCAGTAGGAGAAATAACATCTGGAAACAAAGGCTTTGCATTGCAATTTTGGAATTGGTTCCTGAAAGGTACCCAGCACTTCTTTACAAGGATGCTGAGCATCCTTTATTCCCAAAAGGACTTGGGATTCATAAACACCTTGCAAAAGGCACTCAGCACCTCAGAGGACTCAGCTTTTTATATGCAGTATTTGTACTTTCTGAAGATCAACATTACAAACAGCTTTAGAAAGGTCTTGTCAACTCAAGCTTTTGTAAAATGTGACATCTACTTTCCTTGTGTACAAGACATTACCGATGTTTGCCAAAACGTACTGATCAGGAACGGCTTTCTACAGCCTGTTTAACATTCACTGATGAATGGATACAAAAGGCAAACACTTTGTGAATATAACATGCAGGATTGTCTCTCAGGCCTGCTGGATAATAACGCAAGAGGAATGTTCTTCTGATTACTTCACCATCCTGGTAATCTTACAGTATAGACAAATGTAAGTGATGCACTTGAGGATAAACAATCCTAGCCCACCATACAAAATTATGTGCTCAGAGGTGATCATCCCCCCCTCAGGAGTGAGGTCCTTGGGTTGTGATGTACAGTTCTAGGGAAACACAACATGAAATCAAATCTTAGAAGGAGAAAAGAGGACAAAAGGGAGAACATCATTACATTGTCACTGTGTAAGTCTGTTGTACACCTACAGCTTGAGTATGGAATGTAGTTGGCACCCTCACCTATAAAAGGGCGCATTTATTAAAGGTTGGAAAAATCAAAGAAGGGCAACAAGGAATAGTATGGAATGACTGACTTTTCAACCTGGAAAGAGATGACTGAGGGGGTATACAATAGAGACCTAAAAAGTCATGATTATTTGGAATGAGAGGGTAGGGATTAACTCTTCCACATCTTTTCCAGTACAATAATATAGGTTATTAAATGGTGCTAGCAGGACTCAGGTTCAGAACAGTCTGGAGATGTTTCCTCAGGCAAAAGATAGTTGTGTGACATAGAATTCCTTGGAAAAAAATGATGTGGATGCAAAATATTTATATGGGTTCAAGGGACGACCAGAAAAATATGTTGAAATGAAATCTGTTGAAGATTACTTCATCGACAAACCACAAGAGGTTCAGGAAACCCCTTGCTTGAGCTTAAAGCAGGTGTAGACTGGGAGAGAATTTGGGTGAAGTATCATGTATGCTTACCCTATTTTTACTCTTCCCCAGGCAGCTGCTTATGGCCCCTAAGTACTGAACAAGAAAATACTAAGACTTAGATAGTAATAAGACTTGTTCTATGTCTTTCTCAGCATGTTTTTTCAAGACACAGTCTAAAGTCTGCACTAGATACCCTTGGCAGACTCATTCTGATTTTAGCAATGCCAACAGAAATGTGAAACCAACACAGTTACTCTGAAGAGAATGACATTAAGCAACTCTTCAGAGAAGAAATATCTGTGAAAAATGTCTTGCGTTCAGTGGTGGTGACTGGAAACTGTAATGTGCAGTAGTTGCTCTTTACTACATAAGGATGAAACCCAAGTGCCAAACTGATTTTGAAGGACTCGGATAAATGCTAAAGACATTATAAGCTACTGGTAGCATTCCTAGAGTGAGGATAACTGCTGATGAATTCAATCTGCTCTGCTTTGTCCCTTCCCCACTGTTTCCCTTTCTCCTTTTTTGTAGGCTTATGGACACATCATTGTGTGATGGGAATGATCCGCCTTTTTCAGATGATCCATTTGAAAGCCACACTTTTTGCTACTGTTAGCGTTCTTTTTTTCACAAAACCACAGAAATCAGAACCAAGGAAAAGCCCACCCATAGCTGCTTCCATCAGTGGAGGACTGCAGTATTCAGTAAGGAAGGCAGCATGCAGTTGACACAGGCATTTGTTTGAAAAATTTGCATTTCCCACTTGGGGCCACCTCAGAGCTCTGGCACAGAGAGAATACATTGTTGTGCCAGGGCTTGACTCCATCTCTGGTTAGTTTAATGTATTAAAGAGATTTAGGACGGTAACAACTTAATTCTGCAAAGAGTGAAGGACTTCCAGTTCTCAGCAGCTGATTTTACACCATGGAGAAGGTTCAGCGCTTCTTGCAGTTTTTATTCCCTAATCTTCCCTGCCATGATACCTGCTGCTGTAGCCCACAGCTCCCTCAGGCCACGTGCTGTGGCCACAGGCAGCGACGTGTGGCCTGGTTCTGTCCTCAACTGGGGACAGCTCTGGGAGCCCAGAGGGGCAACACTGTCCCCGCTGCAGAAGTCCATGGGAGAGGTTTGGTGCCGGTGCTTATGGTGGAGTCTCTCTGGATTTGCTTAGCACGTTTCAGCCATTCGTCTACCATCTGCAAATCTACAGTGGTACTAGAAAGAGGAGTGCTTTCATGGAGAAAAGAGGAGCAGGGGAGTAACTGGAAAGTCCTGTTTCATGGGCATGAACATTTCTTGGCATAGAGATGGTATTTAGCAGACTGCTGAAGTGCAGCACAGAATGGCACACCACATGACCACAAACCTTTCACCTTTCTCTAGGTTTCTGGTTGTTTTTTTAACTTCACTTTAACTTCAATTTAGTAATCAAACCTATCCGTAAAAAATAATCAACACAATCAAACTTACTGCCTGCAAATATTCCTACATGACATCCAGTCCCACAAGGGTCCGAGAAGATAAATAATGCTTTCAGATCAAATTGCCAGTTTAAACACATTACAGAGTGCAAGGTTTTATATAAAAGCAGCCTCATGTTAATAAGTGAGAACCTGATTATCTAAGATTGCTTTATGCCTGTAATAAAAGTGTCTGCGAGCAGTAACAGTAGAATGTTTTATTTGTAATTGGTTTTGATTGTTGAATCATTATGGACAATGTGAGCCTTGAAATATATTAAGGGGAAAAAGGGAGACCTGTGAAATTTGAAAGTTGATTATTTAGATATTCAAAAAGAGCAGAAAGAGTTTCCAGATTTTTAGTTTCAGATAATAGAATTTTAGCGATTCCACAGCTTCAGAGTATTTTTAGTGGCCTAGATTTTTTGAAATGTGTTCCTAAGGTTTACAAGAAAGATATACGGTCACTCTGACAAAGGTGAAACTTGTTTTTCAAAACTCATCATCTTATAAAATTGAAAACCAAAGTTTTCTATGTGCCAAAGCAGAATGTATCTTCTCTGAGAATATGGGATTAAGGAAATAATAACTATTTCTTTGTTTTTTTCTCTGAATCTACTGGTGCATGCTTTTACTCTGTAATTTCTTGTCCAAGCTTCTCAATTATAAGGACTCTGAGACCTTTATACAGCTCAGCAGTGTAGGGAGTTCCTGAAATGCTCTTTACATTCATTTACCAACCTGAGTAGATCCAGGCCTTAGGGCAAGTTAGAATTAGCCCCTTGCTTAAGTTCCTGGCAATGTAATGAACTAACATCTTCATCATACAATTTCCTTTCCAAGATGCTTACTCCTTGTTTGCCTGGATATTCCAGTTAGTTCCTTTTAAGAATTTGAAAGACTATGCAGACTATTTGTACAGCAGAGTGTGTAGGCTCAGAAAAGAACAGACAGCACCCATAACAAGGGATGCCAAAAGAAGGAAGACTTTCCATTTGTCATGGTTTAACCCTAGCCAGCAACTAAGCACAACACAGCTGCTCGCTCACTCCCCTCACAGTGGGATGAGGGAGAGAATCGGAAGGGTAAAAGTGAGAAAACTCATGGGTTGAGATAAAGACAGTTTAATAGGTAAAGCAAAAGCCGTGCGCGCAAGCAAAGCAAAACAAGGAATTCCTTCACCACTTCCCATCAGCAGGCAGGGGTTCAGCCATCTCCAGGAAAGCAGGGCTCCATCACACACAGCAGTTATTTGGGAAGACAAACACCATCACTCTGAACATCCCCCTCTTCCTCCTTCTTCCCTCGGCTTTTTATTGCTGGGCATGATGTCACATGGTGTGGGATGTCCCTTTGGTCAGTCGGGGTCAGCTGTCCCGGCTGTGTCCCCTCCCAACTTCTTGTGCACCCCCAGCCTACTCGCTGGTGGGGTGGGGTGAGAAGCAGAAAAGACCCTGACTCTGTGTAAGCACTGCTCAGCAGCAATTAAAACTTCCCTGTATTATAAACACTGTTTCCAGCACAAATCCAAAACATAGCCCCATACCAGCTACTATGAAGAAAATTAACTCTATCCCAGCCAAAACCAGCACACCATTCCTTAAAAATTTGTTCTAAAGCATTAATATGGGCACCAGACTTAAAAATAGAATGAGGTAAACTGGATTACTAAATTCCTTCTCTGCCTTCTCTGATTATCTCTCTTCAACTCTAATATTTCTTTCCATTAATAATCCAAAGCTTCAAAACAAAGTTTCAAATGTCCATTAATCTTTACTTCTATTTGTTAAGATATCAAAATCAAAGAGCAAAAGCAAGATGGTAGCCAGAATAAAAGGATTTTCGGGACTCAGCATCTTTCATCTTGCCAATGTTAAAAACACTTTGGAACTAAATACAAACACTTTCCAGATTTGCAAACTTCTGAAACAATGGCTGAAAACAAGTGTTTGATCCATAATATGGTTCATTTATTTTAGCATGCTTCACTAATTTTCCAAAGATTTTTCAAAATAGGATGTCTAAGCCTACTTTTCTTTTAACTTCAGACTATTATTCCTTTCCCAGAAAAAGCTAAAATCCACAAAGTTGAAGTAGTCCTTTTACCTACTGACTTCTTCCCAGTATTTCAATAAACCTCAGGTTTAAAACCTTGGCCCTTAGCAATTCCCCATTATGAGAAGGGAGACGATATGGGGGCTAGAACTGTCATGGCTAAAACTAAGCAACTTTGCTTATTTTAGTGAGTAGCATTTTAATTAAGGGTCAGTATCCAGAAAATCCCACTGACTTCAGTGGAGCCCCATTTTGGATGGATAGCAGCTTGTGGGAAGCCACAAAACGAGCAGAGCAGAACAAAACCAAGAGATGGAGACAGGCAGGAAACAGCAGAAAGGAACAGAGGGGTGGAGTGGGGAAAAGTTTATATTTGTTGCAGCATCTTATTTTTCTGAACGTAGATTAAACCTAGAAATCCCAAGACTCTAATTTTCTCTAATGTCAAGCAAATTGCTTGAGAGCAATTGAAACCTGCTGGGAAAATGTGGTTTTGCACTATCATCTCTACACATATCGGACTCCAAGAGCTACCATTTAGGTCAAGAGGTAAAACCTATGGGAGGGCATTCCCTCGGCAGGCAGTGCGGGTGTCCCCCAGGGAGGAGAGGGGCCACAGCAGTGTGCTGAGGGACTGGCTCCCCATTCGCGCCCAGCCCTGTGGGAGGTTGGGTTGTCCCCTGGTCCCTGCACAGGGCAAGGGCTCTCGGCTCCTGCTCTCCCCAGCGGTCACAGCGAGAGGGAGCCTGCTCCGTACTCTCCTTGTCTGCATGAGCCAGGCTCTCTCGGAAAGCAGCCAAGCCACCGTGTCTAACCTCTGTGTGAGGTGGGGGCTCTGGCTGAGTTGCTGCAGCCAGGTAGAAAACATCCATTCACCTAAAACGTGACAGTCTGATGGTGCTCAGTATAAAACAGAGGGCTGGAGTAGCCCACACGCTGCCCCACCCGAAGCAAGGGGCAGAGCTACCCGAGCATGCAAAGGTCAAGCAGAAGCTGAAAGGCACAGAGCGGAGTGTCCATCTCCCACAGGTGTGTGTGCACACCCACGTGTGCCCATTAGAAACTGCAGGAGCCATCGCTCAGGCAGATGGTGATGGGAGTGGGCTGTCAAGCGCTTCGTGCTATGCCACCTGTCTGGCCCTAATGCTGCGACTGCTACGCAGAGGACCAAAAGCACTACGCAGCAGACCTCCCGCAGCACCATCTCCAGCATTTGAGAAGCGAGTGTAGGTACTGCAAGAAGGAAAGAGAGGAACCTCTCTTGCACCTCTTGCTCTTTCCATATCTCAGAACAAGCCATTCAGTAATTTAGCTTTTTGCTTCTAACTTTATGCTTCCAATCTGAAATAATCTTACAAGCATAAACAGTTGCAAGAGAGAACAGCAAATTGCTTTAACAAGTCTCAATATTTAACAAGTCTATGCCATTCTCTAAAAGACAAGTCATTTATTAGCTGCCAAAACTCCCAGGCATGGCAATGACAGTCAACTACATATTTAAATATGACCCATCAGCTCTCTCCTTGTGATACAGTTTACAGAATTGAAGGATTAAACTCCTGCTCCTAAAGTCACAAAAACCCCAACAAAGGTATGAAGGAAAGGTTTGTCCCTTTCCTTTAGAAGCAACTTCTTCCCCTGTTCACCCGAAATGCAGAATATGAGAGCTGCGGGGAAAAAAGAAACCTCCCAAATTTTTCACAGAACTAGATATGATTTTAAAAATAAAAACAATACAGTCCTATTATCTTCATATCATTCACTTGATATGACTGTTCTTATTTTTCCATGTAAAAACCAAAGACCAAATTTGCAATGAAAATCATGCACCAGGCATTGTCCATGACCTTGTCAAATGCAATGAATTTCTTAATAAAACTCCCAAACAAAGGTACAGATGGCATGAGATACATGACCCAATATGTCTAGTTTATCACAATTTAAATAGGATTATTAACAAATGGTGAAAACACATGAGTAAGAAAGGAGATAATACATTTAGGGTAATAAAGAAGAAAGCCTACTGTCAAAATGTTCCCAGCAAACAGAACCAGACATCATCAAAACACATTTGAGAATGGGAGAGACAAATTCTACTCCCTTTTGCTCCTTACCTGAGATCTGCAGCTAAATTATACAGAATTAAAAAGGTACCTGTTTCTCAGTTCCCTATATTATCATATGCAGTAGTTATCTTAAAACCTTCATAAATGCTGGTGGTTTACCCTCCCTCTTCACCGACAAAATAAAATACAAGCTAATATCATGCTTCAGATTCCAACAGTTTGCCTGTGCTCTTTGCAAATTTCTCTAGAAATGCTCAAGGTTCACTATGCTGTGGGAAGGAATGCAAAATGCTGCATAATGACAGGGATAACTATCAGGGAAGATGCACTGAGAGAAATGATCACCACCTGACAAGGCAGAGTGCACATAACAAATGCCCCAATCAAATGGGCGCACGTACCTAATCTGTTGGAGGGGTTCCTTTTGAAGAGGGCTCGCAGCAGGCTCTGGGCTTCTATGCTCAAGAACTGCGGCATTCCCAGCTTGGCTCTGAAAGAACACAACACTTGAAAAGAAAATAGATTTTTCAAAAATTTTCTGCATCCCACTGTGGTTTAAAAAGTGGAATTGTAGTAGTCAGGATGGGCAGAAACATGAATTTAGTGACCAAAGGCTACCTAAGCATAATGCAATACAGAGTGAGGACCTGATCTTGTTCTGTTGAAGTTAAAGAAGGTTCTACCGCTGGCTTCACTGGAAGTCGAGTATGTCTAATGAATCTCACAACACCTTTTGCAACCTATATAGGTCATTTTTCTACAGAAATTTTTTTACTTTTTTAGCTTGCTGGAATAAATTTGGGAATCAAAAGGAATTTAAACAAAACAAAACTTCAGGAAAATAATTATACTAAACCACATATCGATTAAAGAGAACCAATCTTCCCTTGGAGATTCACTGCTACAGAGAAAAAATGTAATATTGAGCAAAGATAAGCTTCAAATACTTATGTCTGCACTGAACATTAAATGAATGGGAAATTTGCAAAGGAAAAGATTTGGAACTTGGCAACAACAACACATAAGCTCTCTTGCAGAAATTTGACCGTTCCTACTTTTGTGTGGATAATGACATTCTTTATTACAGAAAGTAAGATACATTTCTTTTGTAAGGCCCTCTCAGTAATTCATTCCTACTATTTATTCTGAAGGCAATTTTAGAGCCACATGCAGTTATCAGCTGTGTGCGCCTTACCAAATTCATGCCTTATGTAGCTTTGAAAAATGCATTATGCACATTATTATTCTCTACCCTTCATATACTTAGGACCTATAGGCTGCCTGTGGGGTACAGTTAACTCACAGTTAGAGGAACAAAAGCAGTTGCAGTACTCACTTGAGAATGAGTGCCATTGTCTCCTTTCTGTCTTTTCCTTGGAAGGGTAACGATCCCGTCAGCATCTCAAACTGTGGAGTAATAACAAAACGGTAAATCGAATGAGTGTTGAGATGGTCCGCGTAGCCAATACACACCACACCCGCCTTCTACTTCCAACACAACTGAAAATTTGAGGAAAAGAAATGGTTCAACAAGCTGCACTTCAGAAAAAAAAGACACAGCAAGTCTGGACTATGCAGAATGTGAAGGACCAACATGACTGGTTCATTCAAGAGTCTTGTTACAAACTGTTTACAGTGATACTTGGGGTCCAGTTTTGGTGTGTTTGGGAAGGAGTGTCATACATGCTGTTTCCTCCAGCACTCCTTTCATGGCCAATGGTGGAGATGAGATATTTGGCTGGAGGGACCCTTACTCTGAATGGGTATGGCTGTTCTTAGGCGTTTGGCATGGACTGTGGTGCAAGGCAAATGGGCTCAACTTGCCACTCCCCATCTTTTTAGCTTGAGTAGAACCACCTTTTTGATTGTATATTTGCACCACTTGGAGACACCACTGCTATACTTTGCAGGAGAAATATGCACAAAACACACATTCTCAAGGCATTGGAGCGTGCTTTTTTCTCTCCCACTTTGGTTCCCTTGGCTGTATTCACTGATGAATCTTGCAAGTGTCACATTTAACTGAACCTAAATCTCAAGGCAAAACTCAGCAATCATCATCAGTTATTTGCCTAACTCACCCATGAAAACATCAATCAGTTATGGTTCCTCTGAAACAGATTAGTGCTTCCAGTAAAACTGTCAGGAATTTCACTTTTGTAAAAAGAAAAGTAGCCAAAGAAGCTTGCGTAATATGGATTCAATATAAGGTGTTTCACTCAGCTCTTGCCACAGTGTTTCATGGGGGTACGAGCGGCAGCTGGTTCCTCTGACTAAGGGATGATGAAGGTTATGCATCACCAAACACAAAGACACCAAGAACATAATTCAACCTGGGCGCAGAGGAGGACAATGTCCATTGAGGGTAAGGAGAACTGTTACTTGCTTATGTCTGTGACTCAGGCTTTGGATCTCTTCTACTATGATGAGTACCTACTAATTAATATTCATTGTTATAATTAAATACCTGTTAAGGCAGGACAGACTCTGCAACCCTTATGTAGTTTTTGTACCTTATCACACAGGTAGCTTCACTGCTCCTAGGAAGCCCATTTGTGCAAAAAAAGGATCCTTTCATTACCAAAACCTGTGTCACACTGCCCCGCAGCCTGACTCTTCCCTTTTCCCAGATTAAATATAGCCACATCACAAGAAAAATATAAGAAAACATAAGAACACTGTAACCATGAAACTGGTGTGCTAGTTTTGGGAGGAGGGCAGAGGAGATGTTTAGAAGCCAGATAACTAACTGACTATAATTAATTGAAGGATTAATCTGCATTAGTAACAAATTACCTCAAGGCAATAAAACACATAGTAGAAACAAGGAAAAAAACACTTTTAAAAAGTGTGTATGGCTGATGAATATAAACAAGATTTGGAAAACACGAATGTGTTAACTCCTGCTTGGTCTGGGAGAGTCAAAAGAAGAGCTGCCTGGTAGAGCTGAAGGCAAGCAGCTCATCTTCTAGAGAGAAGCATGATGGGGGAGAATTTTAAAAACTGCCTAAATGACACTGGAGCTCAGGCACCATTTTCAAAGTAATTCTGACCTATTATAACCTTAGGCCCAATAAAAGTGTTCAGATATACTGGGGATGGAGGGCAGAGAACATTGCCTCCCAGGGCAGCAGCAGAAGTGGCACATACTGTACCAAACCCTCATGATTTTTTATGCTCAGGGTAAGTACCTCATGTTCGCTTACACTTGCTCATGTTACTTTATTGTTATAATAAATCTAACTTAACAACACTAACAATGACTGCTACAGCTCATTTATTTTGGCAGAAATGGGCTTGACACTGCTGATGCAGATGATACAGATATAAGCAACTGCGTGGTCAGTGACTATGTTGGAGGAAGATGACTGTAGCTCCCACCCACCATGATATCACAGAAAGATCTGCAAATACACCATGGGTGCAAGGGGCCAAGAAACCTGAAGTCAAGAAATTCAGATGCAGTGTCCAAGAGGGGAGGAAGGAAGGAAAAAAGAAATTGAAGTTGCAGCAGGGGGCAGGGGAAATTACTGTCCTGAAGGCTGCAGGGAATATTTACTGCACTGCACTAATGGCTAGCACTTTGTTACCACATCTCCAGTTACACAGGTCTAATGTTGAGATTAATTCAGATTCAGAAGAAATGCACTTAACATCAATATTTAAAGTGAAAGGCAGCTACAATGAGTTAAATGTACCAGAGCTTTTTCCTTCAGTGAACTCAACTAAGCAGCAGCTAGAAGAAAGCACTGGTTTCTCAGTTGCAGCCCTGATTAGATCTGTTGAAAGTTAAAAATGAAATAACAAGACTGAGAAAAAAAAAATAGTTCATCTCATCAGTTAAAGCTACTGCTTTACCGCACAGCCTCCTCTTTTCCTGCTTATTTTTTCAAAAAATCAAGAATTTTGCTAAACCTAAACATGCAAACAGAAGTGAGCACTTGCTGCTAACATCCTTCCGCATAAATACAGAGTTGTATGGGTCACAGCATGTTGACAAGGAGATGAGCCTAGGTGCGAAGAAACTCTGTAGTATTTTTGGCTATTAAAGCAGACGCTATAGCTTTGCCAGGAGACTCAGTTTTCACTCTCCCCACTTCCCCATCTGTATAAATCATCTGTTTGCTCCTTGCCTTACAAGCCTTCCAATGATTTGCTTCTTGGGTATTCCAGAGGGTCACTTTCTGTTAGCCAATACTTCAGAAGTCTTTGTCCCCCTCCAACCTTGACTTCCTTCCTGTACCAATATTCAGCTAGGAAGGCAAATATTTCCTGTTCCAGTTCAGCTGCCTATTAACAGAGTCACAGAATTAAAGCTTGATGGGAAAGAGCCTCTGGAGTCACCTAATCCAGCCCCTGCTTATGTCCTGACATAGTCTGTAGTGCTTCCTTTCTCTAGCGTTCAGGGCAATCGCCAATTTCAGTAGGCAAAACACCAGCACTGGAGACCCCAGAAGATACACGTGGGAAGACCTTGGGAAAGAGGGACACATTTCCTGAGGGTCTGGGTTCAACAAGCAACCCTGGTAGGTCATTGAGGAAGATAATGAACAAGAAAAAAATCCACAGCCTGGGTTAATTGCCAGATGAATCTTCCTAGCAGATGGAAGGGGAGCAGATTGTGCAAATTACTTCAGCCCAAGTCTGCTAAAGTATTGTGAGCCTAGAATAAAATTCAGGGTTGCAAACAAACTTGATACCACTCAGCTTGGGAGAGCAGAGAGAGACATTCTTGTCAGGACAGCCAGGTTCCCCTCTCAACACTTCCAGTCATTTTCCAGGTAGCTGGGAGCCGGTCAGCCACTCAGTTTTACCATTTGTAAAATGCATTAAGTATTTTTCATTATTAGCCAGGTGTGAAGCCTAATGAGTTAGTGTTTGCAAAAGGTTTGAGTACGTTCACATAGCAGCTAGCATAAACATTCAAAATACTGTTCATGAAGACCATCCCTTGCACTGGGTATAAAACAAGTTGTTATGATGGGATTCTGTAAGAGAAGGTCATATTGCTTTGACGTCTCATATTTATTTTTCCAATGCCACTGTACGGTTACTACAAAATTACTACAGCGCTGGCTACTTTGTCTGGATACCAAAAGGATATTTTCTTTTCTTGTGAAGACTTCACTACTTACACATTGACTACATTTCTTTTTATTTGGGACTGCCTACTGAGTCATCACACCCCTTCTTTCTCTAATTATATTCCCCTCTCTGATCACATGACTCTCAAAGGTGTACAGAGGTTTTTCCCAAACTGAAACACATACAACTTCCATGGGGTCTGCGGCCTTGTATATCAGCTGGTACAATGAACTACAAAACCACTGCTTTGTGAGGCCTTCCAAGAGCCTTGTGCATGCTGTAGCATGCAGCTGAGTTTATCTGGGCTTCAGAGATGGCAGTGTGGGCATCAAGGCTCTTACAGTGCAGCTGAAAAGGTATTAGTCATATAGATTACTTTTTAACAATTTAAGTCAATGGCATGTTAATGCAGATCTCTTGATGCAAAGCTTCTGTAGAGTATGTCCTATCCAAAATCTCCAGTGCAATGAGTAAGATGCAGGAAGGCAGAAAACGAAATCTGTCTGGTCATGATAAACCACATAAGTTCATCAGCACAAACTTTTAATTGGGTCCCACCAGTTGTCATCACATACCAAATGGGAAGTGGGCACTGCCCTCTGGAATGCTTGGAAAGGGTCAAGATTTCTAAAACTATACCTGTTGACACATACTAAGCTACCATAAAACAATTCAAACAAACTGAGCAGCAAAAGAACAGAGCAGGTAACAGTGTTGGTTTTGTGGCCTGCGTCAGACTTACCTGGTAGTAAATGAAGTTTACTGTTGCTGATAGTAAAAATCCCACTGAGTAATAATTAGTAATGTAATTAATAACATAATTAATAATTAATTAGTAAGACAAGACCAGAATTTAGTCTTTTTTGGGTAAGGTTGTTTTGATATTAATAATTACAACATGCCACACTTAATGTCACCTTCAAGGATCATTCAGTTTGATTCTGCCTATGCCCTGGCCAATGCAGGTTGGCAAGGAGCTGCTAGCACAACCTGACTCCTCATATTGTAGCATTGATCCTTCTTCACAGAATAAAACAGACAAGAGAGTGTTTTGTCGCTCTTCTGGCTAGGTTACAGGCCATTGTATCACTATCTGCCTTGTATGTCCCCTGTATTGATCAAAATTTTAGGTATGAAAAATTGCACTATCACATTCTCTTCCTTTCAGTCTGTGCATATGCCACCAACTGGTATATCTGGTATATTTACTTTGTATATTTCACATCATACTGCAAATAACTTAGAGAGAAATGCTAATAAATCATTTGGATACCATTTGATTCTCTTCAGTTTTTCAGACAGCAGAAAACAAGCTTTCCTAACAGAACATACAAGTGACAGACCAAGAAAAACAAGTAGAGATTAGAGGAGCGAAAGACAGCAACAGAAAATCCTCCTGCACTTTTAGTGTATGGAAATACACTTTTTCTGCCCCAACCAGTTAATCATTGAAAAGGAAAAAAATTGAACTGATTACATCTATTTTTCTCTAAGATGTCTGGTAGCACTCAGAGGCTTAAAGCATTAGCTTACATTTAAAATGATTTCACTTTCTTTAACTAATATCCTTTTATATGGATTCTTATCTTTTCTAATTCTAATACACTGAATCCCTGGGGGAGGAGATGAAAAGAGAGATGGAGGGGAAAAAAATGAAAGCCTAGCAAAAAACAGGTGGGAAGGAGCCAACTTCATTAGCAGGTGAAAGAAAAACAATCTATGCACCAAATACACCATCATGTCTTTTTGACTGGAGACACACAGGGAGAAGGCACAGCTATCTTCCAAAACTAAACATATAATAAATAAATTTAAAGGGTTGGGGTATGTTTATTATATGAGACATAACCTATTGATTTTCCTGAATAAATAGATGCAATTCAGAAGTGCTGATCATCCACAAATGGATTTGTGGCCATAGAAGATAAGGATGTTCCACTCCTTTTAAATTCAGGTAATAAATTACATTATTTACTTAGATGAACTGCTGTCAACCAGATAGACAAGTGATGTAGGCCCTCCCCACACCAAATTTTCTCTAGTTTTCACACTGCTTCCTATCCTTACTTCCTTTAGTGACAACAGTTGTCTACTTAGAGTAAACAACATTTAAACACACTCTATGGATTGTGGGCTGTAGTGTAATATATAGCTACCTAAAATAGCTTCTGTACCACAGGAAACAGAGCTCTATTAGAAGAGCAGGTTGCTACGTTAATTTATGCTTCTGCCCTGGTTCTGCAGGGGAGCCGTGATAACCACGGTAAGGTGCAATGTGAGCCACAACTGCAATGCTCTGCTGCACTGCGTTGCCTGCTAGTGGCCATGCACTGAGCACTTGGGTAGACCTGCAGCCTGCATGCCTGAGGAGACAGCAACATCACCTTCGTTATCTGAACACATCCCTGTGAGACTAATAAACGCTCAAGGGACAGCACTGTGCTTGATAAAACGACGCTAGGAATAACTGCTTCAAAAAATCTACAGCATTCAAAAATCATGGCATCACAAAACAAATTCTCCTTGGTCTTCCCTTCATCCTCCTTAGCAGCAATGGCACCACAGACAAGAGGCTGGATGCGTGCAGGAGGGAGTAGGTTAGTGCCCAAAGACCTAATTTTAGATGGCTGGCATAGGGAGGGTTCAATACCTCTCTGAAAAACTTTCCTGAAACTGCATCCCAGTGTCAAATACTGCAGCACTCAGAAGGATGTTTTTGGGTCCTTCTCATAAGCCAAGCAGCTCCACTGTAGTTATTAGATATCTCTTGCAGAGCTCTTCTTGGAAACTGTTTTCCAGCCCCCTCACCTCTTAAGCAGTGGGGAGCTTTCTTCTAGTTTCCAGGCTAACTGTATTTCACAATGAGTTTATTCCTATCTGCTCTTGGGGAAACATTACTCTTTAGCTTAAATAGCTCCTTTCTCTCTGTGGTGGTTTTCCCTGTGATGTATTCATAGATGGTATAGGTACTATACCATTGTTGGACTATTATTGGACTAAAAAGCATCTTCAATTAATTAATTTCCCCCGCAACACTGTATTAAATACTTTATTATAATGTAGGCACATGAGATCCACTTCATTTACTTTGTTTAGAAAAAGATGGCTATGTCATCAAGTAAAATAGCAGATTAATCTAGCACAAGCGATTTTTGGTAAATTCATGTTGTGTTTTAACTAACTTTCCATCGATTTCCATGTATAAAAAATGAATTAGCACAGTTTCAAATATTGATTCCATTTAAACTACCTCCAGAATAGCATGCAGGACTCCTAAAAGTTAAGCAACAGTGAGGAAAAATTGCTACTTCCGTAAAGTGTTGGGGAATCAGCCTTCTTGCCCTCCATGCCAGATATTCCTCAGTCACAAATTACCACTGCTGAGCCGTTACAATTAGAATTTCCCCTTCAATACTTAGTCCAAGAAAAAGATGAATTCCTAACTACTTCTCTGTGCCAATTGATAGATTTGTGTCTTTTTCTGGTGATTTCCTCCCTATGAAGAGAAGTAATTTTAAAACTGTTTCACATATGTCAGTTTAAAACCAGCTTCAGCATGCACTCAGGACAAAGCAAACATCCCAAAGTAGTCATAATCAAGACACAGCAAAATGGTACAGAAGAAGAAAGGAGGTTGACATGGTGCCTGTATGTATTTGTTTTCTTTTCCCACCAGGAGAAAAGAGAGGTTCTTGATGACAGTCTCCCACCAGCTAGTAAGACTGACTAGAAATCCACTGCCAGACAGTGCAAAAACTACCCGATTCTTATCAGTGGAACAAAAGTCAGCAATGTTGATGTGAAGAAGATAGATGAGTGGTAAAAGAACCACTGAGGTCCTGTGAAACATTCAGAGTGCCCTCTAAAATATGTCCTTTTTAATCTATATTTTGCAGAAAGAAAGAGTAAACTTCTGGGTTTCCTAAGAGGATATCCCTAACCTCTAAAAATTGCTGCCTGGGGAATTGTTTCCTAACAGGAACCACGTTAGTAGCTAGGCAGATGTTTCTTCTGAAATGCTTGAGCTCTTCTCAGCTTGCCCTGCCCTGTTTCTGTGGAATAGAAATGTTCATGGCTCATGGAAACCAACTGAGACGGCAAAGGACTGTGAGAAGGAAGAGAGAGCTCTAATCTGGGGCCAAATACTACCTCATATACTGCCAGGAGCAGCTGGTTCCCTGGCACTGATGCAGTGAAAACGATCAAGCAATCATTACACATTACTTTCCTATCAACCCTTAATTGCTGAAAGCAGTACTTTTTATCTGAGGGGTCTGATCACTCCTACAGCCACCCTTCCAACAAACGAACACAACTTTTCCATTACCATGAGTACGCCAAAAGACCACCAGTCAGCACTCTGTGTGTGTCCTCTGCGGTTGACCACCTCTGGGGCCATATACTCTATTGTCCCACAGAATGAATACGCTCTCTTGTCATGGTCGATGGCTTCTTTACTCAGACCAAAATCTAAATGAATTGAAACAGAAAAGACTTGTCAGATCTTGTTTACATTTTTTGTCACTTAAACTGTTCAAACAAAACACACCCACCAGCCGATGAAGCACCCTTCTGTCTGTGTGCAGAAAGGCTACAAGCATGTGTGCGCTGAAGCCCTGCCTACGTGCAGTGCCTGGTTGGCAATTTGTTAATATGACCTGAAGGTAGGTGTATCATTTTCTCTGTTCAGAATGAGGTTCTGGCCCAAAGCAGAAGAGAGAGTTTAAGTAGACAGAAATACATAGTTCAGGTTTGGTGAAGACAATGCTCGTAAGAATTCTTACTCAGATAACCAAAGCATTAGGAATAATAATTCCATATGGACAGCAGTGCAAAAGATGGGCAGACAGCACATTCAGGGTGGCAAAGGGATGTCTTTCCAGGTGTCCTTTGCACAGCGATAATTCAGAGAATTTAATCTGGAGTCAGCAGTCATACTGGAAGCACCTTTCCATCCATGGTGCTAGGCAGCCATGCCTGCATGCTTCACATCAGTCAGGAGTACAATTTTACCAAGAAAACGTTGTGTTCGCCATCTGCTGTGTAGCACAGGTGCTTGACAAATTGCCAGAGAAGAGAACCTCAACACTCAAACTCTTCTGGCTTCTGAGTTTTTGTAAGCAAACTTTCTACGCAAAGATCAAGAGGCACGGAGCATACTGCAGAAAAAAACCCCAGCTGGTGGACATTAAGTTTTCCATTCCTCACATACCTGTTATCTTAATGTGGCCCTCTTCATCAAGAAGAATGCTGTAAAGCAAAAAAGCAAACATTCATTCATTAGGCAGGCAAAGGTGCAGTTAGCAAACATAAATAAAACGTTTAAGACAGGTAAGGAGATACGCAAGACTCAAATACATGTGTAAACAAACCCCCAGTGGATTATATGCCTCCAGAAAGAAAAAATGATCCTCAAAGTTCTGTCTAATCTCATGTCTGAAGCACACACAGCCTGTGGCAGTTGCATGGGGAGCCTCCTCCTTACTCCACAGCACGCTCAGGGTGGGCATGCAAACTGAGCTCAGAAAGAACAGGGTGTTCAAAGCCAACAACAGCAGAGTGTCTGATTCCAGCAGGAGAAGGAGCTACAGGTTTTCTGCTCTTCTCATAATAATAAAGGCAAGCACACAAATAATCAGAGTTTGGACTCACTGGACCTAAAATTAACTCCAAAGGTAGATACATTCATGCTGAAGTAATAAAAGTGATCGTAGAGCATAATGACTATTCACAGCCTAACTGCATGGATCTCAGCCCCTACTAATTTATTCTGTCCGGAAGCATAAATGAAAATTCAGCCTGTAAGCCAAGTTCAAGTGTTCTCACATTTGCCACCTGCCAACGTGTTTTATTCTCACAAAGGCACTCCAACATTTCCGTGAAAAAAATGACTGTAGTTCACAAAAAGCATTGCTAGTTTTTATGGAAACAAGAAGGAACACTGAAACTGAAAAATAATGATTTCTGATAACTTTTCTGCCTATAAATACCGACATAGTAATGAAGGTGGTGTTTCTTCAGTTCTAGTTAGATTTAGTATATTTCTTTTTTTCAAAATGGTCTAGTGAGGTGTCAGCTATTTTTATATTCCCCTTCTCTTAGAGAGTCACTTTAATCCAATTATTCTGGAAGAAAATAAGACAGAAGTGAAACAAACGCATTGGGCTGTACTTTAGTGAAAGCTTGTCTCTGTACATAATTGAAAAGAGATGATCTTCTGTCATTTGTTTGTGTGTTTAGAACAGACTGGCTGTTACTGGGTAATTCATCAAACAAAGGCCAGCTTCTGAGTCACTACTATGTGTTCAATAATTAAAACTTTTTCTTCTCAATAAAAGCATCTTTACCTCTGTTCTTTCTCCCTAGATTTCTTGAAGAGGCATAATTTTTAAGTACTAGCCTATAACAGGCATGTTTAAATGTATTTTTGTGACTGCAATCCCTAAACGAGAGGCTTGCACTTCAGAAGGGAACAGAATAAAACACCTGCCAGTGTGGAGGTGAGCGTGAATGTTTGAACTCCACAGACTTGGCTATGGAGAAATGACAAGGGGGAGTACAGCTCACAGAAATCACCCCAAATTTTGCTCCACACCCAGGAAGCCCTTGTGAATAACAATGCAATTCAAAGGTTGTGGGATTTTCCCCAGAAACATCAATTTTATATTTCATAGATTTCCTACTGAAAATCCATGTTGCTTTTCTTTGTATACAGTATATGCTCTTCATACCTTTGTCCTTATTAGAGGGTTCATACCTTACCCTCATTAAGTGCATGGAGGCAATACCAACACAGCTATCAGACTGATAATACTGTCTTAGGTTAAGTGAGCCAGAAGCACAGAACACGCTTTCTCACACTAAATGTTTGCATGAGCAGGAAAACGAATGGATCCTGATTTCCTATGGGTGTACGTTCTCTATATATCCCCTAAAACTTGATCTACATTTGCTCCTCTGTCTTGTGTTCCCTAATCACCCTTACACAGTGCCCTCAGCTGCCTGCAATTTCCCCTGCGGCCCCCGGCAGCAGCCTTTGGACAGCTGGGCATTTCCACATTTGCCATCTGCCAACACATATAATGCTACAGTTATGAACTGAAAGCTACATTTGGTGTAAAAAGAAGATAACATGCTAACAGTCAGAAAAAAGATAACTGTTGCGCTGGATTAGCTGTGACATTAAGAAGCAAAGAACCATGTACCTGCTTCTAAACATGCAAATTACAACAACAGACAAATAGTTGTCCTTTGACTGTAGAAGCAAACTTACTATCTGATCATACTTTCTGTCTTCTCTTTTAATCTTTATCGCTTTACAGTTCCTTTTTATCCCACACTGGCCGTAGTAGAAATTCTATTGTGACAATCATAATTACTTTAGCTATGGTTTGCAGGATCAGCTAATCTGAAATAAGCTAGTATTATTTTGCAGAAGGGAAAAAAGAACAAGAAGTTGTTAATGTGATTCAGGCTTGAGAAAAATCTTTCCTCTAAATCAATGTTTTGAAATGATAAAAAACATAAGTAGTAGACTATTTTATATGTTAAACTAGGCTATAATCCCATTAAGTGATAATCTTTCACTATGAGATTTTTCCATTTTATTTGTTCAGTTTAAGGTTTGAGTGTGTTTACAGGATTCTATCATTGTCATCTTATTCTTTATTTCAAAACAATAACAACATTTTAGCCTCAGGATCATTCCACAAACATTCAAACTGCTTTCATTGACCTCAGTTTAAAAGTATGCCTTGAGAAAATAAAGGCTGAAAATCTCCATGTTAGAGGCTGGAAAACTAAACTAGTAGCAGGGGAATGACATACTCCAAGTTACAGGAGAAGCTCATAGTAGAGCTAGGACTGCAAACTCCTTAGTAGTTTTTTTGCTGCAACATTAACACAGGGATAAAAAGCCTGTGTTATTAGTTGTTGACATTATTTTGTAGGGAATCTTAAATCAAGGCCATAGCAATTCTCTCCCATTTTTCTCTCTATTTTTGGTTTTGAGTCATGTCTTTTAGGCTTCGCTTTGAACTCCAATATACCCAAATCATCATGAAGTTCTGCCAAATCTATTAAACTGGAACTCTGGGTTTCTTTCTCATTATTTAAGTTTCTTTGCAAGTCAGCTCAGTTGTGCACAAAATTCAGCCCACACTTTATGTTTTTCAGAAATTGTAGCCAAAATTTCAGGTTGGAAAGAAAACATGAAACTTCATAAAGAGTGTTAAATTTGATTGCAGGCTTTGTTATGGAAGTACCAGATAGAGTGAAGTATTCAAATATCTCCCAAAGAGATGAAGATTCTCACAAACTGTCCACCTTTTGTGACATTTCAGTGTTTGCATGACCCCATACTATCTCACCATGTTGAACAGTCTTACACCAAACTCATCTCTGCTCTAGCTTCATTGACTGTTTACTTCGATGGAAGATGATGGTGATTTTCTACCAAAAGTCTTTGTCCTTTACTGATTCTCAGATCTTCCCTCTCTACACAGAGCAGCTACATTCATGAATGCATTGCCACAGTTTACAACATGCTGCATTAAGCAGCGGTGGTTTGGTTTTTTTTAATATAGTTCAACAATTCAGGAGTTGTTATATGAGCAGTTATATGAGCTGCCCCTTGTACAGACAGCTGAGGGCATTACAATGTAAACCACTCCTTGTTAATCAAAACACCTACAACAGAAATGTATCAAGGTGCATCTGGGTACCTGGAGATAGAAAAGGCAAAAATAAATATAAAATCTGTGCATTCTCAGAAGGTCGAGTTACTTCTAAGTCACTTACACTCTCAAACCACAGCATAAGAAAAAACATATGCATCATATACTACTGTATAATAAGTTCCCATTTTTCTAGTTCACTATAACCGTGTTTAATAACTCGATCCTGTGGTTCTTAAACAGAAACATGCCTCACCATGTAAGCAGCTCCACTGGTTTCAGTGTGACTGAACAGTACCTTGTTCCACAAGGGATGCCACTGAAACCACCAAGGCAACTCAAGGAGAAGAATTTGGCTGCAACAGTTTAAGAGAAGAAGCATCTGTTTGTTTTAAATGAGACTTTAACCAGAAAACTCAATTGCTTGCCTTTTTGAAGTAAGTACAGCTAACTTTACAACAACTCCCAGAGTATATATTCTGCTTGCACTTAAAATTAATTCATAGCTTTGAATTGTTAATATGGATTTTTGCTCAGGGAATCTTAAAAAAATGCTGAACCTTAAATTTTAACGTATTGAGGGTTCTTTCAAGTGGTCTGAACAGTGCTAGTTTCTAACTAGTCTTTGACATAAACAATTCCGATGAACTTCCTTTTAGGATACTTACAGAGCTGACTGGAGCAATCTCAAACCTATTAGCAGCTACTTTTGGGAGCTTCTGGAGGACAGCAAAACCACTGAACAATGAAAGAAGGTCAAATGCAATGTCTATCTTTTAACAAAGGGGAAGAGAAGCAACTGGGAAATTACAAACCAATTCATTTATCTCCAGTTCTCTAAATCTGATAGAGTAAACCCTGTGCTCTAATCAGACTTGTAATGCTCCTCCTGAAGATGTGGGTGTAATTGTGCACATTGCACTTCAAAGGAGATATGGATCAAGAGAAACAAAAGTGGGGAATGAGAATGACTGAACACCCAGAGAGACTGGCGAAGAAGATTTTGGTAGCTGGACTGTTTAGGGTACAGAAGAGAGGTCCAAGGACATGGATGTGCTTGCAGTCCCCTGAGGCTGATGCTGAGAGCAGAACGAGCTGGCTGGGGAGTCTAGGAGGACAGGCCAAGGAGTAATGGCCTGCAACTGCAGCAAAGAAATTTCAAATTAGCTACTAGGAGCAACTTTCTAGATGTACAACTGGTGGAGCACTGCCAAGCGGCCTCCTATGGAGACCATGGAGTCTTCACCAGCTATTTTAAGAATAGGTTAGCAACACATCTGTAATGACCTTGATATATTTGACCCTTCTCAGAGGCAAGGGAAGGATGAGAACATCCTGGGATGGTCCTAAATGTCTTTTATTGTCTTATATAGACAGCTATCCTTTCCCAGATGTAACTTAAAAATATAGTACGTTTTTCTCTTCAGTATGAATATTTTTTTCTGCTGTACCTGTTTTTTTCCTCTAAACCTAAAGTTCCAGTGAAATCATAGGCTGTCATGCTCTGCTGTCCTAGGCATGGCTACACACAGGCTTTGCACTTACAAAGTTATTTTTAAAGGATATGGTATTCAACTAGATGGACACCTTGACTGATCCCCAGGTATGAACTTTAGTTATATCAGTCTGGGTCATTCCCTTTCCTGTACAGCAATAGTTATATTGATGTAAAGTAATTTTATACTATGATAGTTGTATCCAGATTCAACTGTACCACTGGTATCTATTTAACTATACATCAAAGACCATAAACCATACATTCAAAAGTTAGGAAATACCAGAATGAGGGCTGCCACCTTAACTTTACACAGTGGTCTCACTGTATAAAGGTCTTTAGTTACATGGTGATACTATTGGTTTTCTTGAAGAGAGCTCTTGCCTCGGTTGGCAGAACAGATAATATACGCAGGGATTTTAGCAGAGTGATACAGTGAAGGGGACGGCTGGCTGGTCTCAGCTCAGACGAAAATGCAGAGAACTGGGTTCCATCTTTGCCTTTTCCACATGTTTCTATGCGACAATGGCAAACTAGTGACAGCTTTCTTTCTTAGGTGAGCTCTGGTTTCTCAATTCACTGATCCCTGATTTGAGATGTTTCAGTTTGGTTTGCAGAAATTTTAAGTGCGTTCACTTGCAACTGAAGTCAGTGACAGATGTGCTTTGAAACACAAAGTGACACATAATACTGAGAACTCTGAAAAGTCAGGCTTTCAGCATCTCAAATACAGTGAATAGTTTTGACATGCACTTAATTTTCCTCTTGGTTTCTAACTTCTCCTAAAGCAAAAAATGATGGCATGTGACTATAAATGTAACAGCACCATGACTTATATTTGAATATTTGGATATTCAAATATTTGAATATTTGGACACCTTCTAATAACAGCTTCATATATCATGTGTCAGCTTGAAAAACCGCTTCATCTAACACCAGAAAGAAAAATAGTGTGCGTTTCATACTAACACTCACTAGAGACAAAGTTTAAAACTGAAAACCTGTAGTTGGATTTATTCTATTATGCACGTTTGTTGATGCTGAATGAATAAAACAGCAATTCAGAATGAAGTTGAAACTGAATAGCTGCTGGCAGACAATGCAACAGCACATGGCAGCGGCAGCTTTGGTGTGACCGCTGTCTACGTGCATCTCACATCGTGTAACAAATTGGTACCTTTATCCCTCCAGTGGTTTAATTTGGAGGATGACTTCTGTATATGCCAAAGACTCTGGTTTTCAGTTTTGTTTGCATAAATGGGCAAAACTGGAAATTTTGGTCACCTGTGAAAGGGTCTCTAGCCCAAAGGACTCAGAGCTCTGGTTACATACATGTGTATGAATTCATATAGTACTACTGCTATTACTGTTGTAACCAAAACATAAAATTGAATTTAAAGTTTAAATCACATAGTACTGCATTGTAGATGAATAGTCTCCTCCCCTTCAATTTCTCACGTACAAAAATCACCTTCCGTTGCTCTTGGTCCCTTATTTTGTCCATGAGTGTGAAAGTAAAAGCACTCCATTTTAAAGAAAGAGCTGCATATTTTTGAACTTCATGTCACAGAAGGAAAAGGCTGCTCTGCTGTTGTACTTTGGGTCTGTAAACAACAGCCAAACAGACTGCTCTCAGTGGTCATCTTTTTAAAATGACGGTGACCGTTACATTAAAAAGGCTGGTAACTTTGAAATGTTGCAGCCTGTTTTATTGGAGCTGGCACAGAAGATGCAGGCAAAGCACCAGGCAAGTGGCACAGAATAAAAACAATATCACATCACTCCAAGTGACAGCACTGAGGGTGTAATTTAGTCTATTGACGTACTGCAAAGAAAAAAGAAAGGAAAAACTTCCATAGCAACACATTAGAAATAGAAAATAGCTGCAAATATAAGAGGCAGTAATTCTTGGGAAAATATTTTGGATCATTAATAAAAGTGTTTTTAAAATCCTGATTATCATGTCTCTTGTGAGCTAATATGCACACTAGTTTTCAGAGATGCTCATTTAAACAATGGCTACAATAAAACTGAATGGTGCCACGACATATTTCATATGAGCTGGAAGTGGAGTTGCTTTGAGTGGTTTATACCACACCAAGGGGAAGGCAAGAGCAAATGCTGCAAATCGAGAACAGTGCTACTGAAGTCAAAGGCACAGAGATCTGAATCCTGCGCTGAGATCATTCACTGAACTGAAGGCCAGGCACGCAGAGGCCACAACACACTGGAACAGAGTCGAAGGGTATGGCCTCATGCTAAAATGATATAATAAGAAGGCCCCACTCCTGATGGTGAGGGTCTCATGTATGGAGTCTCACATACAAGAAGGAAGGCAGAGCCTCTGGCTCCTTTTGACTTACTAGCATGGCAAGGAGCAGAAACAACTGAAAAGCTCACATATTTATGTTTTGGTTTCTCATTAACTTACTTTTCTGGTTTTAGATCCCTGTAAATAATTCCAAGACCATGGAGGTGGTCTAATGCCAAGGCCAGCTCAGCTAAGTAGAACTTGACATCCTCTTCTGTAAACATCACCTAGAGAGAAGGAAGACAAGAACACACCACTTTACTGGACAGTGGTGGGATGGCTTGCATCAAACAGACATGGGGAAGGAATTGCCTAACTCGGGAATGCTAGAAGGACCATCATATCAGGTTCAATTTTCCTTAATTTGTCTGAGCTCATATTAACAATTCTTACCAGTCTCCTCATAAAACAACACTTGATCTCTCAAGTACTCCTGTTCCTTAAAACATGCTGCTCTCATTTGTCTGTTTGATCTGTTTAGATGACATCATGTTGCAATAATATGCATTAGGTTCTAACTTGTTAGCCTTTGGAAATGAATGGCAAAATTCAATGTGTTCAGTGCAGCTCTTATTGCTTTCATATCTCTTAATTTGCTAAAATCTTGACATTTGGTTACCAAATTCCCGCAAAATAATATGGGGTAACCTCTTTGGGGAAGGGAAATGCTTCTTGTTTTAGAAACAAAACCACATTTAGTTCCCAAACAAGAGCAGGATACACAGCATGAAGAGACTCAGAGAGGGATTTAAACCCCCATGCATCAAGGGTTCAAGGAATCTCAGTGCAGATGCCCTAAGCAATGATGTGCTGTCTAACATCCAGGGCCTGATGAGGTCTAAATTGAGGGCAGTTTTTTCCTTTCTATAGCTGATATGGCTACTACTCACACTGAAAGCTCTGCTTTAGGTGGGAAGAAACTCCTGCAATTGAAAAAACATTAAGCTCAGAAAAATTGAGCTAAGATGGGAAGAAACCCCTTTGGTTCTATTTTTGTTGTATCCCAGATAATGTTAACTTCTCTTTAATTAAATTTCAATACGTACAACAATAGTAATGCAGAAAGAGAAGCTGATATATTGCATACACGATATTGAATACTATGTATGACAGAAGTAAAATGAGTCAGCCTAATAAAAATTTACATGTCATGTAAATGCAAATATCTAAAGTAGATGTTGCCGAGCTTATTTTTAAAATTAAGTCTCTGCTCTTGGAAGGGGGCAGCCACAATACTGGAGTGTTCTGAGAAGCTGCAGAAGGCTGAGAGCAAAAATAAAGGATTGAGAGAACAGATGCCACATATTTTAATTAAAAATATCACTGCAAAGGCTAGAAAGAAAAAGGATACATAAGCAAAAACTCTGACTAAAAATGTAATTGGTCTGAACATTAAAATTGCATTAATTATCAAAATAAATTTAAATTATTCATAAGGCTTAAAATAAATAATGTAGGCAAGAGATGAAATCATAGAATCAGAGAAAAACTTATCTATGCAGATACACCCAGGTAAAGTCAGACGTCTCAGAAAGACAGAGCAAAAGAGAGACAAGCTTTGCAAACACATGCTGTAGTATACAGCAGGATCTGACTGAAAGTCCATTGAAATCAATAGCGTTGGACCAAGTCCCTAACTAACAAATTGCCAGCAGTACAAGTTTTCCCATAAGGTCTTCCCTTGCAATACCTTGCCACTACTGAACAGCTGCAAAGTATAAGTAGACAACATGAGCTGCAAACACTGAAAAAAGAAGTATGTATAAAAGGGCTGTCAAGTGAAGAGGACTCATCCTTGGTAGTATAAGGCAGAGAAATCAACAGATTGCATTGGAAAAGCTTTGGGGAAAATGTGAAGTTCTAAAGGAATACAAAATCCACGCTGTTCTCTTTCACTTCTGAGTTCCCTAACTGTGCAGAACCTATAGCTGCCCTCTGTAGGCAAGAATCACTTTTCATCCTTCTCCAATGAGACCAGAGAGGCCTTTGCTAAGACAGCACGCTGTGTTGCACACAAAATCTGATTTCATGACGAACAGCAGAAGGATATTTTTTATTTTCTTTAATCTTTTTCCTCATATTAAAAGTAACTGCTGCCATGCACTAGGTACTTATATGACTATCATTATGTGGCAGTGTAATTAACCTGCCTCTAATGTCTTCTCACATTAGCAAACAAGCCTTGAAAGCAAATACTTGGGCTCCCAAGCCGTGGCGCACACAGCAGCCTACAGCATGTCACTGAACCAGGAATCAGATGGGAAGCAAAAAGTTAGAGAACTTTTGAATGAAAGTACTGTTTTCACAGCTTTTTCTAGTCCATCAGTGACTCTCCAAATCAAGAAGAGCAAACACGGCTTCCTCTCTAGATGGCATTTGAAAGGTCCCTATTTTATCTTTAATGATTGTGTGTTAGGTGGTTGCTGACACCGCTGCCCCCACAGCCTGTAAAGAGACCAGGGGCTGGGGACATCGTGTGAGTGACAGAGAATGCCGGGGTGCAGAGAAGCCCGCGGGGGTGGCAGGGCTGCCTCGCCGGAGCCCCCCATGCTGCCTGCAGGACTCTCTGAGGCTAAATGCAGGAGGATGCACCGCTTCAAGCAATGCAGGCAGCTGGCTTGAAGAGGCATTTGGAGACGCAGGCAAGTGCTAAACGAACTTGGAAAAACCTGCCGCTATCTATGGGCTTTAGCAAGACTCAAGTTTGGACCGTTTCCTGGCTGCATTTTTCTCCAGCAGCAGCATCTCCCCAAGGCAGGGCTGCGGAGGACAGGGAAGGGATGGGAGCCCAGGGAGGTGGTGGAAGCAGCAGCTGTCCCCAGGCAGGCAGGAGGAGAGACGGCGAGGGGTGCGACAGCCAACCTCCAAACCCTGGGGCAGCGTGTGGCCTCCGACCTGCTCCCAGCAGCTGCTGCAGGAGGTTGGCTGATGCCCCATTGTCTGCACGCTTGCTGCAGGGGTCGGCCCCTGACCTACGGCCATCTCTTCTTGCTGCCGGCAGCGGTTGTGATTTTCCAGCAGTTCTTTGCCCATGTCCTGGGCAAAATGTGTTAAGGATTGATTTCTCAGATTGTTTCTCATCACATCCAAGATATATTTTGTGAGCAATGAGTCTGGGGCTATTTTGCTATGGGAATAGCTTAGTAGTGGTGCAGTTTTCTCCAACAGTGATGCTTATGTGCTATCTGCTACAGTACCTATGGCATAATTCACATATAATTATTAAGAACACACTTAAAGATGCAAGATGATACAGCTCTATTACATATATATAGCAGGACTATTCCCAAGGCCATTTTTCATTCCCACCAACTTCATCTGAGTTCTGGAAATCAGGATAGTCTTTCATTTCTAAAGTTAAAATCTATCAGCTTACCTCTTTGGAGAGTCTTGTGAAAAGGTCCCCTCCCCGCAGGAAATCTAGTATTAGATACAACTTGCCCTCTGTTTGAAATGCTGCATTAGAAAAGGATGGAAATGTTGGAAGTTTGAATCAAGATAAAGTCTTGAAAGAATTAATCTTGTTGTCTAGCAGTGTATCATTCATGCCATTAGCTTCCCTGTCATTTCAGCACTTTGAGAACAGAAAAATTTAATTTCTCTATAGAACTAAGCAGCTGAGCTTAGACTATGGGAAAAAATGGTATCAGCGGAGAGTCAACGATGCATTACTAATATATGCTTTTGCATGCTAAGCATCTACGAATTAATATTGCTTTCCATTGAACAAGACATCAGCGGTCACTGAGGGCTAGGCATAGAGAGAAGCTCCCAGGTTTGTGTGAGAGGAGAGCCCGCACTCTCCAAAATGTCCTCAGAAGACCCTTTACAGTAATAATGGGGCTCCTCAGGGAGCTGGTGAGGCGGAGGAAGGCAACTCCAGCAAGACACCACATTCATATACACACATATACAAATTTGGACTGGTGCTGATTATTAAAAATAGTTTTTATTTAGATTCTCTGGTTTTCTAAGTGATACTTGACAGCAGGTGAGGGGGTTGGCAGATGTATACTCACCAGCTACCCCACCAGCACAATCTATCACATTAGACTTTATGACAAGTGTATTTTGATGGAGGAATGGCTAAAACTTACTTATACTGAAATCTCCTTTAGCTTAAATGAAGAATTTCACACAGGTAGCCTCTATGATTTTGTTAGAGTCATAAGTAGGCAGGGGGTATGAAATTATAACACATCTAGTTACAATTCTCCAATCTAAGAACAAACATGAATTTTATTTTATTATAGTTACCATAATGAAGCTTGACTATGAAAGGATGATTCACTTCTGCCAAAATATCTCTCTCCATTTTTGATCGTACCCGATCCCGAACTATAAAGAAAGAACAATAAGAACAGTGACATATTAAGAAGCAGCATGGTCACTGGATACAGTACTGGAATGAGGTTCAGGCGATTTGGATTCTGCTTGTCACTCTGCTGATGGCTTGTGGTGTGGCCTTTGGCAAACCACGCCACTCTCTGCTTTCCCCTTTTTCCATCTGTCTTGTCTATGCAAAGAGCAAGCTCTTCAGGGAGGAACCCTGTCTTCGTCTGTGGAGACCTGCCCTAACTGAAAGGACTACAGTATTACAAACAACAGGAATGCGATTATGCTTTGCAAAAGAGAATGTTAATGTGAAAATTAAAACAATATAAAATTAATAACTCTGTCTCATTTAAGATTAAACAGAATGTACCAGTCCCAGAGCTGGTTGGGTTAACCTCGTGCAAATTAACTTTTTGTATTGTGATGATGATAGCCGTGTTTATGAGATATCACTGAACAGCACTCTCTGGAAGTGATTTGTATAAAATATTTTTAGCTTCCAATAAACCACCCAAACAATCAGTAATAAAGAAAAAAGGCTGATTAAAAATAGTAAAAGACTATTTTTATCTGTAGAAATAAATTATTGTGTGATAGCAGTGAGAAAAATACTTTTTGTGGCTGAGATGAATAGAGTAAGAGAAAAAATAGTTACAGAGGTGAGCTGGGTTCAAACTAATCAAAACTGACGCTGAAGATTTCATAGCAAAAACATTTAGCAGAACGTTCAGACATTGAGGAGGATTCAAGTCTCCTCATTATCAGCCTTGATCTTACAGATTCATTTTTGAGTCAACCACAATTTTACTAATTCCATAATGAAAGCATTGAAATTTTCTTCTTTCTCTGCGTTACACAAAGCCAATATGCTTTTCAGCTGAAACCATCTACAAGGAATGTTATGAGACTATTTTAGGTGGTAAAGCCTGAGATCTCAGTGAAATTCTGTCATCGCCTTCATGTGTCGTGGATCTGCTGAGAAGCTGAGTACTCTCAGCACCCAAGTAATGAACGTGCCATAATGAAACCACATATTCTGTTGCTGTACTTCAAAAATTGATGCACGGAACTAGGTCTGAAACAGCTGATCTGAAAACCTTAAGTAGGAGTGGAGGGACACTTGGACTTCTTGCTATTTTGATGCTTTACTTAGTTCAATAGTAAAGTAAGCTTTACTAGCTAAGTCAACCTAAGCTACTTTGTGGCTAGAAAACAAAAAAAAGGTAATCTCAGAATCTCAGTCTTACCTCATGAGTAAAAATCTCACATCATACACTCACAAAATGTTTAGCCTATGCGAATGCAGAGTATTTCTCGCACTGTAGAATCAGTGATGCTCCCAGCCAGGAATTCTTGTTGGACAGGTGGGCATTGCTGAGCACTCTACATTGGATATTTCCCATTAATTTCCCATTAAGCTTGGTTAGATAGCCTAATAAAGTGCCTCTCTGCACTCACACTACACAGCCATGAGAAAAGGCTGACAGAGCAGCAGCGTGCCCTCCTGTCCTCATCATTTCAACCTCCAAACAGGTAAAGGCAGAGCTGTGTGGCCGGGTGCTTTGCCAAAGCCCTCTGCGCTGTGCCCTGCTTACTGCTGTGGTGGTTATGGGCTGCCACGTCACCCTCGTCCCCACACGTATACAGCATGTCTGGAGGCACAGAGACATTAAGGAAAAGGCTATGTCACCACAGAAAACACCTAATTCTCTGGAGTCATGGCCCCGTAAACGCTCTGAGCCTAGTCTCCTCCAAAGCTGCTCTAATCACCACCTGCACAGTGGCTGCCAAAAAAGATAACTGGAACCTGTAATCAGGATTGCAGCTTTGGACGTGAGTTGGTGACCTGCCCTGCCCATCTTCCAGCATCAAATACTGCCTGATTTAAACGCTTTGGGGGCAGGAGATACGTAGGCCCGGATTTTTATGGAGTCCTACCACCAAAGAACCTACTAATCATATTATCTAGAAAGGCAAATCCCCTTGCTTTCTCCCACTTTATTTTTCTTAGCCTATTACTTCCATACACCTCGGCCGTACCTGATTTTAACCTCCAAAGTAGCCCCCCTAGAGGTATTTACCTGCTTGCACCAGCTTATGTACCATAGGACACTGTCAGTTACTTGTTGTACAGTATGCAGCACATCCATTGTCATGATATTTAATAAATATGCAAGGTTGTGGTTTATTATTAGTTCTGTCACAGCAGGAGGGAAGATAGATTTTCTCTTATTCCAGATACACCTAGGAATTCCCCTGCTCTTCTGCCCTATTCTATTTTTGGGATTGGGGCAACATGGGTCTGATATGCATAAAGAAGGGTTTTAAGAAGAGATGGCACTTTGATGTAACATTTCAACAGCATGAGGCTCTGGCTGTGTCTACTCCACTGTCATCTTCCAGGTATGGTGAGTGGGAAAGTGCCTCTCTTCTGCACTTTGGAGACTTTTTCCAGTAGTCAGTGGTCCCAGTCTGCTCTGCTGAGGGAGTCTCCCTTGTAGTTCTTATATCATGGCAGTCAGATAACTAGATTAATTTGCTCAAGCATGATCTGAATTAGTTCTGGCTGCTTATTCAGACTGCTAGGTCCTGGCTACAGAGGGAATTCTCCAGCAGTATGGGGAGAGATGGACAGGGAATAAATAGCTGCTGCAGCGCCAGGGATGATGAGGCCTGAACATTAAATATATTTTCTTGACCATCCAGGTTAGCTCAGTTGGTTAGAACACAGTGCTAATAATGCCAAGTTCACAGGTTCAATCCCTGCTCACTGCTGGGGGGTTGGGCTCGATGATCTCTCAAGGTCCCTTCCAATCCAAAGCATTCTATGATTCTTCTATGCAGGTGACCAAGCAAACATGCGTGTCTTTGCTACGTCTCACTGGGGGATCAGTGAACATGTACCACCATGAATTCCTCCTCTCATTTCCAAAATGACTGGATCACTGACCAGGAGCTATTTCTATGGATTCCTTTCTGAGCGAATCCCTTTTCTCTGATGGTCTTATCAAAGAGCTGCAAAACCAGCACTGGAGCTCAGTAGCCTCAGGGAAGATGACTGAGCAGCTCAGAATCACAGAATCATAGAATCGTTTAGGTTGGAAAAGACCTTTAAGATCATCCAGTCCAACCATTAACCTAACACTACCAAGTCCACCACTACACCAGTTAAAGGTAGAGTAGTAATTTCCTGTTTCCTGGCTGGGTGGATGGATTATTTTTTAATTAAAGTAAAACTAGGAATCGTTAAGGTTGGAAAGGACCTCTAAGATCGTCAGTTCAACCATCAACCCAACACCACCATGCCCACTAAACCATGTCCCACAGTGCCACATCTACACGTTTTTTGAACACCTCCAGGGATGGTGACTCCACCGCCTCTCTGGGAAGCCTGTTCCAATGCTTGAACCCTCTTTCAGTAAAGAAATTTTTCCTAAATTCAGCACCACTCAGCACAGGGCTGGGCTCTCCCTGCACAGGTACCTGCCTGGTGCTGCGGAACAGCCTCTCCTTCTGCCCACCCCTTGGTAATGACAAGGGGTGTGCACCAAAGGCACAGGTGAAAGTGCAAATAACTCAGCTCCCCCATCCTCATTTTCACCACTTGCAGGGGCCTCAGTGCAGTGCACAGAGAGGGGAGCACAGTGGCTTGGGCAGGTAATGCTTACACCAGATGCTTACCTCCATCATTAAAATGCTTATTGGAAATAGTGCTCACCTGCTAAAATCTTGCCCTTTCTACCCAGTATTGAATTTGGTTTGAAAGGTGGGGTTTGCCACTTATCTTTAAATTATACGTCAGACAGAGGCAGAGAACATAACCTGGAGCGATAAGCACAAAGTCATGAAGCTTGTGTGCATGATCTTGGATAAATTAGCTATCCCTGAAATAATCCCTGGTGTCACGAGACAGAAGAGACCAGACTGGTGGAGCTGGTAACAGCGGAGGAAGCACCTGCTACCCTGGAGTAAAACCAGTTCCCGTTTCCAGGTATTAATGTGGTAAGAAAGAGAAGCAGAGGCAGCTGAGGATACATGCAAATAAATAGAGCTTATCCACTCCTGTCTGTCTAGCTCTGAACATCAAAGAGGAGGATGTTACTGTTTACTTTACTTAACACTGAATGCTTAAGGAGAGGGCTTTATTTAAGGTATAAATTTTTACTTCTTGGGCTGTTTTAATTTTAATAACCATGAAGTACAGAAGGGAAAGGACAAAAGGGAAAAGTATATACAGAGCATCTTCCAAGGAGAGGAAAAAAGTTCCTTTTCAATAACAGACTAGCTGTATATTTTCTGAATAAGAAAATAAAAATGTAATCCTGCTTCCCTCTACGAAGCTTTCATGATATCAACTTTGGTTGAGATTTAAATATGGAAATATAAATTATATTTCAGCCAGTAAACTTCTTGTCCATATGTCTCACTTAAAAACTAAGAGTCAGTGCATCTCTAAGCTATGTACACTGTCAAGTAATGATGACCTAGGGGCATCCCTTGATGTACATGCAATGACATTGTATCAGTTAAGCAGGAAGTCGAGCCAACACAATAAGAACTTTAATTAGTGAAACCATGGCCTACAGGAACTGTAAAGGGGAAGTTTATAGAAGAGACACTAATTTATTCACTGTAATACTGATTAAAATTTATAGCTAATTCACCATAAGGGGAAAGCAAGTTGTCATATATCTAGTGACTGGATAGCTGAGCAGAAGTCACAGCTCTGTGAAGATAAACACCCTTCAGCCACTGGTTTCAGTGGAGCCAGAGTATTGCTTCTAGGATCTCTTTGGCCAAAGAATAACTTCCAAACATTTTTATTTAATAGTACCCTTCTCACTGCTGCCCAAAATAATTTGTAGTTCTACTAGAAGAAAATTATCCTGAAGCTATCTTCTAAATTTGTGTGTAATACTTTGCTGGTCTTTTCTCTGTCTTCAGACTTAACTGGAATAAGTTGATGCTTTTACTTCAAGAGAAGTAATTTTCTACCTAACTTG